TTATCTCTAAAATCAAATTTTTAAAATGGCTTGTTTTCTGGTTTTGTTTTGAGTTTATAACCATTGCTAATGGCTAGAGTGCTGGAAAAAAGGTACACAGGTAAATTTGATTTTATTGCACTGTCTCAAGTTTCTACTGATAGGTGACCATATAAAATGAAGTTCAGGATTTAAAGCTTCAGGACAAAGAACTACTACTCCATGGAAACATAGCTGTGTGCATACCAATTATTTGGAAAGCTGCTTGATTTGATTGGGTAGTAACAGTTCTGTTACAGAATCCAGAGAAAATTCTAAATCCCTAGAGACAGCTCCAAGGCCCAGGCTGCAGAATTAGCCAGTGAGCCTTCGAAGGCTTTCAGAGGAGTTAGGCTTTAACAACTTTTAAGTTTATCATACAGGTAAACTAGAAAGGGAGAAGATCTCTTAGATTTAAGGGAAAATAAATTTGGTATTTAGGGTAAAGATTTTTATTTTTGTGAGCAAACAGGATCCTGAAGAAACTGATTATTTTCAGTTCTTAGACCTCATATCTATAAAATCTAGTAAGTCTCCTTGAAATTGACAGAAACCTGAAGAGGTATGAGATTGTAAATGAGGTGTAAAGTATAAAGCTGGATATAATGAACTTGTAGGGATGGCTAATTTAAAGTACGTTTCATATAGAGTCTTCTGATGGTGTCCAAAAGAGGTGACTTATTGCCTTGGAAGTTAATCTTTTATGTCACCTATCTCTCCTGTTGGGAGGTGGGAGTAAGGGTCCACTTATATTGTGTACCTAATATGTGGCATTACATGTCATGTCACTTCCAAGTCATAGCACTGGTAATTTTTCAGGGGATGGACATTGAGTGCCAAAGAAAAGAACTAGAGCTACTACACAAAGAAAAACATTAAGGAGAATGGCACCGTTATGATTCTGAGTCTTACTCTACGGTAGGGGAGGCCTTTGACTCTCTCCTCAGGTATATACCTAAATCAGATGACCTAAAGGAACTAAAAGCTATAAAATTCTCCCTCTTTAAAACATTTCTGCTGAAGTGTTTAGCAGCTGGTTGTTACCGTAAGGAAATACTAAAAGCCATACTTTAAGTAGATGTTGACCTCGGCCATTTATAAAGACCAGGAAGTAGCTGTTCTGTCTTGGGATGAGACAAGATATATGTGTCCTGTCAGGTGCCAGTGCGCAATGAAGACCAGACACCATGCTGCCCTGACCGTGTAACAGTTTCTTGGCTCTGGGGAGATTCTTGGGGGCTGGGAAGAGGCAGAATAGCAAGTCTATTATATAGTGTGTCCACATTTACCAAAAAATGAAAAAGAGATGTCATGTTTTGTGGAGGACAGATACCAGTCACAGTAGAATGCTCAGGAAAAACAAGTCTTCATTCACATTAAAATTGAAAAACTAAGCTTTAAAAAAAGCTAGTTTTAAATTATATTTTCAACTCTAAAAATGTTTCATGTAATTTTCTCTTTGAATTAAGAAATCTGTAAGCCATTCTCCAAAAATTAGTTAATGAAATATGTGGAGGAGGCATGTTTTCTGTATCACTTGTTCACCTGTGACTATTTACCTGCAGTGCTGAAAGATTTGAGACCACTCCATTTAGTGTCAGACTCAGTTCCCGAAGTCAGGTCTCTGTTCAATGTTCCTTTTAGTAAATGCTCATTTGAATTAAAAGAGGGCAAACCACTGGAAAGTAGATGGAATTTAGGCACATTACTAACTCTGATGAGATAAAGAACAAGCCAGGATAGACCAAAGATGGCCTAGAAATCAAGGGACTAGACATAGGGAGTCTGTGGGGTCAGGAGTGATTACCTTACACAGTAAAAACAAAACTGCTGAGGGAAGAAATCTGTCTTCTAGTTTAAGATGATTATTACTTGGACTTTGGATAAATTCAGGTCAAAAATTTACCTGAATTTACAACTAGATGTGATAGTGCATGCCTACAGTCCCAGCTGCTCTGAAGGCTGAGGTGGGAAGGAGGATCCCTTTGCCCAGGAGTCCAACATCCCCTTTTTTTAAAAGAAAGAGGCGGGGGAGGGAGAAAGAGAGACAGAGACAGACAGAGAGAGAAAGAAAGGAAAGAAAGAAAGAAAAAGAAAAATAGGAAAAGAAAGGAGAAGGGAAAGGAGAAAGGAAAGGAAAAAAGAAAGGGAGTTAAACTTCATAGACTGGCAAATTTTGACTTCAGTACTGCAGACAAACCTGGAAACACTACTTCCAGATGATCTTTAAGATTATTCTGAAATAAAGGCTGCAGAAAGAGTAATTCTGCTTTTATCTTGCACCAAGTCACATTAATTGGACATAACATTCACGAATTCTGTTAAGACATTCCTACTTAGAAAAGGTCGTTGTGGTGGGCGTGTCCAGAGATCAAGTTTAGAGGTTTGCTGAAGTTAAGTGCACTGTTAGGTTATTGGTGCTGATCACATCTGAGGCACAGGTGGGAATGGAAGATTTTGGGCTAGGAGGGAGAGACTAAACATTGAAGTATCCCACATTCCCACATTTTCAGTTGACTCATTGGAAGGAAAAGGATCTTACAACTGAAAAACCTTACTTTAGAAAAATCCATGTGGATAGTTAGGAGATGAGGCTTATAGAAGTTATTTTAGAGAAATGAGATAGGCTGTCTTCCACTGAAATTAGCTTCTACCATCTACTTCATAGGAATTATTAACAAGAGGTTGGTAAAAATCCTGCGGGCTTATCTGGCTTTGAATACAGAGTTACATACAAGCTAAAACTACATTAATTGGAATTCTATACAAAGGAATCACACAGAGTTCTGTTCTCATTTTCCATGTGCTTCAGAAGATTTTCCAAACATCCTTTAGCTACCCATTTTGGGTTCTTACATCTTACCAAGTGTGTTGAGGCACAGTGTAGATAGGCATTTTAAGATTTTAGCTTTTAAGAAACGCACTAACTATGGAGAGAAGGATGAGTACTCCACATACTTGTGCCTCTGTAGGTAAATATTAGGAACACACGGTGTGACAGTTAATATGCCATCTAGAGTGTCCCAGGGTAACCGCACATGGCAAGAAGTGTGTGCAGCTGCTAACCACACACAGATCTCTTCTGTTGTTGTTCATACTTTAGTCTTTTCAGGCATGCAATTTTTCCTCAGTTCTCAAAACAAGAAAAGGAACACACATGGTCAGAAGAATAGAGAGAGAAACCTGAATTCTTTATCATTTAATCTGAATATTAATATCATTCACTTCTGGGGCTGGGGATGTAGTTTAATGGTAGAGTGCTTGCATAGCCTACACCAGGCCTTGGGTTGAATTCAAATCATAGCGCTGCAAAATACAAAACAAAACAAACTCCACTTATGTGTAATCTGAAATATATAGTCAGAATGAAAGGATTCTTTTAATATCAAACTCATTGTGTCTTTTAGCAAAACTCTTAATAATGAGGCAACACTTCCGTGGTTCATACATACGTACTCTCTCAGCCCTATACACAGAGAGAAGTAAACAATGTCTCTTCTTTAAGCCTACTGTTCTTTAAGCCTAACATACTTAATATTCGTTCCTTGAATAATTGGGGTTCTTGTAAGCTTATACTGTGTTATTACCATGGGGGAGTCTCCTAAGGGCTTAAAATGTAGCTGAGGGATAGCTCTATGATCTGAAAAAATAGGAACATTTCAGAAGGCAATGACTGTTTACTTTAGCCTAAAGGCCTGGTACAGGATTTGAGAAATTGTTTTTTATAGAAAGCCAAATAGTAAATGTTTAGGCTTTGCAGGAAGTAGATACATAGTCTTATCACAACCGTTCTGCCATTATACAAAAGCAGCCAGAGATAATACGTAACCACTGAGCATGATTGTGCACCAGTAAAACTTCATCTGTATAATTTTCATATGCCACTGAATAATTCTTTGGAGTTTTTCAACCACTTAAGAATGTAAAAATTAGGGGCTGGGAATTTAGCTCAGCGGCACAGCCCCTGCCTGGCAAGTGTGAGGTCGTGAGTTCTGTTCCCGGTAACGAAAAAAAGGAAAAAAAAAAAAAAGAATATAAAAATTATTCCCTTAGGGGCTGGGGATTTAGCTCAGCGGCAAAAGCGCCTGCCTAGCAAGCGCAAGGTCGTGAGTTCGGTTCC